GGGAGAGATTTTTTTAAAAAAATATATAAATATTTCATGGGTGTAGAATTTTAACGAGTTAAGGGAGATATCGATGATTTGATGTCAATAACAAGCGAGACAAGAGTCATATAATTTATCCCCCTATATCTTAGTACATGATAAATGCAAAAACAGGCTAATTGCAGATTCGCAGACCTGCCCCCCTCCCCCTCTTTTAATTATTGGCCAAGTAGGCAAATATTCCCTCCGTCCCGTTCCATCATATAAGAGATTTTGAGTTTTTCTTATACGGTTTGATTACTCGTCTTATTAAAAAATTTTGTGCAAATATAAAAAACGAAAAGTTGTGCTTAAAGTACTTTAGATAATAAAGTAAGTCACATAAAAAATAAATAATAATTCTAAATTTTTTTGAATAAGACAAGTGGTCAAACAATGAAAGCAAAAATCAAAATCCCTTGTATTATGGGACGGAGGAATTACGTAATCTGTCTAGGGCTGTCAAAAAAGCTCGAGGCTCGCGAGCAGCTCGAGCTTGGCTCGTCCTAGGCTCGATTCGAGCTCGGCTCGAGCTCCAAACGAGCCGAACTCGATCCTGAGCAAAAGCTCACGAGCTTTACCGAGCTTGACTGTGTATAGTTTATATTGCATGTTCACCTTATTAATATAATAAACTAATAGATAAATATATATATTAGTATCTATTTACACAATAAATTAGCATGTGTTAGCACAATATATTTATTTTAATCATTTTCTACTATTTTATTAGTGTGATTAACTAGAAAATAATTATACTTATCAAGAGATTATTATTAAAATATATATTATACTACTTATGGCTGAGCTCGGCACCGAGCTCGAGCTCGAACCGAGCTTGCCTAAAAGCCCGAAGGTGCAACAGGCTCGGCTCGAGCTTGGACAGACGAGCTCGCTCGAGCTCGGCTCGTTGACAGCCCTAAATCTGTCCACACAACGAGGAAAATGACTGATTCTCAGTCATCTTGGAACGGAGGGACTAATAATCACATGTGATCTGACCGTACGTGCTAAACTGAACTGTTGTGCAGTTCAGGCGCTTTCCAAAAAGCATCTCCTAATCTGGTGAAGCCAAGTGGCCCAAAAACGAACCTTTAATTCCAAGTGACCTGCTTCTTCCTCGCCGTTCCAAAGAGAGAAATCAGCACTAGTATTCCTCAATCAGACAGTCGTGACTATTGACCTCTCTCTCACACACAATCACAAATCTTGTGTAACTTTAGCCAAAAAAAATAAATGATTAAAAAGTTCAAGATTTAAAGTACACTTCTTTTTTTTCTTAAAAAAATGCAGGATTGATGTTCCGAGTGAGCTTTTACTGGAAAGCGAATCTGGCGCATTGGTCAGCAGCCTAGTAGGAGGATATTTTGGTCAGCTGCGCCGCCAACAACCCCACACAGGTGGGGCCCACCCGAAAACATTTCAAGCCTGCACACGTCCAAATTCCGAACACAATACACGCCGCGCCCACCCTGTTTTTCACTCTCCTCTGCTTTCCCCTGCTCTGCCCCTTCTTAATGTTATTCACCTAGCATTAACCTAAAAATTAATCCAGCATGGTGCGGTGATTAATCCTTTTTTAACACAAGGTGATGCCACTTATCCTAATGTTTGCCAATCTCATTTTCGTACCGAAATATTTGCACAAGGTAGCAGGAATATTTGGGGCATCTGGATCAGCTGTTAATTAATTTATTTTTAAAAGAACCAAGCACGCTGATTTTATATTATAGAAGAGTAGAAACAGTACAAAAATTTAAGGAGGAAAGGTAGCAGCATAGCATGGCGGCCAAGCGCTTCCCGCCTACAAGGAGAAAAAGAAAAAGCAATAGTACTATTCTCTCGTAATTACTCACACCACTCCCTTCGCTCCCATTTCCTACATTTTTAGTACATCCATGATTTTGTTCGCGAGTGGCCTTGGCGTGATTTCTGTGCTTCGAAAAACACAAGTTGGAATTTGTTATCCTTTTCTCAATACAAAATAACAGTAAAGCTAGTTGCTTATGTATTTATCCAACATTTTTGGGAAAAGAGGCTAATGCCCAGCTTTCATTAAAAAGCCATAATAGTTCTTACAAACAGAGTAAAAGAAAACATAAAGACTGGGGACTCCAGTTCACCAAAGGAAGCATCATAGCTGCTGGCACAGCTCTTAGACAAGCCAGGAGCAAAGCAAGACTACTACTATTCCCAAGCAGGGCTGAAAGGGGTTGTTGCTAACTCAATCACGCAGCATCAGGTCCTTCGGGTACTGGCAAGCAGTAAGCCCCTTAAAACGTCCATGGCACTCCTCTCCTTCATTGGCGCCAAATCTCTCCACGGTAGAAGAAAAGAGATAGCCTTATGAGATACTCCCTCCGTTTCAAAATATTTCACACCGTTGACTTTTTAAGACGTGTTTGACCATTCGTCTTATTCAAAAAATTTAAGTAATTATTTATTCTTTTCATATCATTTGATTCATTGTTAAATATACTTTCATGTACACATATAGTTTTACATATTTCACAAGTTTTTTTAATAAGACGAACGGTCAAACATGTGCTAAAAAGTCAATGGTGTCAAATATTTTAAAACGGATGGAGTAAATGAGAAGCATCGGAAATCAATTTATTGTTAAATATTTTTACCCATGTTTTAAATTATGAACCGAGAACCCTTTTTCTCTACCTCATATCAGGAATTATGTGCCTTAGAGGAGGAACACGTTACACATGCAGCTATAGAACCCTAAGTATCATGCAAACTGCATCCCGCAAGCAGAACATCCAAAGAATGCCACAATTTAGCAAATGGGATAGGAAGTTAATATCCCTGCGTTGGTCAGCTTGCACCTTGCAGCCAAACAAATACTTATTCAAACATGAGTCTGGCCATGCTAAACTGAACTGTCTGGTGTGCACTGTGCAGTACTGGCGCTTTGTGAAAGCCGGTCATATTAGTTCGCTTACGTAATGCTTCATTAACCATTTATTAGCAAATAAAAATTAATTTTTTAGATAAAATTTATATATATGTATCCTTAGCGATAAAAAGCAAATATTGTAAATTAACTTTAATTAAGTTTTAAAATTTAAATTCTAACTTATAAAGATACGCATAAACATGAGTGAAATAATGAAGCCGGGCATATCTTAATCTGGTGTTCAATCCAATTTTTCAGTTCCAAGTGTCAAGTCAAGTCAAGCGAATGAACATCGGATTGGCTTCTAGAAAACGTAGTAGGCGAATTCGCGTAATCCTAGAATATTATCCCTTTTTCTGAGTGAGTAGGATATTCTGGCGGACAGGGTGGTGGCTTGGTGGCCCCCCTAGAAATCCTCTCCTTTTTCTTCATCGCGCGATTAAACGCCACGCCACCACCAACCTGGTTCCTCTTAGAGCAAGTTTAATAGTACAGCCCATTACTAAGCTCCAATTCATTTATAGCCAATTCATACAATAATTGCTTACTATACTATTAGTATATGGTCCCACCTGTCATACACACATTGCGTCTTGGAGTCCGTGCTGCAGCTGGCTACAGATCTGTAGCCCGCTGATCTTCTCTCTCATCTTTTATCTCATTAAAATATGTTTGTAGTTGGCTAATAGCCTGCTATTGTACCTGCTCTTAGACTACTACTCCCTCCGTTGCTCCGTTTCAGGTTACAAGACGTTTTGACTTTGGTTAAAATCAAATTATTTTAAGTTTGACTAAGTTTATAAACAAATATAGTAATATTTATAATACTAAGTTAGTTTCATCAAATCAATAATCGAATATATTTTCATAACAAGTTTGTCTTGGGTTGAAAATGTTATTATTTTTTTCTACAAACTTGATTAAACTTAGAATAGTTTGACTTTGACCAATGTCAAAATGTTTTATAACCTGAAACGGAGTGAGTAGTAAGGTAGAGGGTAACTGTTGACGTGAGTAGAACAGTGATAGATATACTTCCTTTTATCTCTTAAAAACAATCATAGAATATGATGTAATATAGTATTTTAGTAATACAAAATAGACTCAGATTTATAATACTATAATGTGTCACATTTCATCCTAATTTTCTTTTATGGAATGAGTAACTTTTCACCGTGGTTATAAGACGGCACCATTTATTTTAAGATAAGTCTAGCAGTTCATCTAAACCATCCATCACGCATCCAATGATACACTGTTCCCGTATAACATAGCTCTCTTGCCGTGTTACTACGTGCTAACGGCATAACGGCAGAGGATTCCAATCCACGATTGTGGATGTGGTGCCACCCGAAAAACAAAAACGTGCCCAACTCCGTCGCACTCTCACCCGTTGAAAGCGTCCACGGCCAACAATCACTATCAGCAGCTTGGGCGCGCGCGCGCAGACACACCAGATATCTGTTTCTCTCTCCCCATCGACCTCCTCTGCTTTTCTTGTGCTCTGTTTCCCCTGCTCTGCACTTACTTCTTGCAATTAGTATTAACCTCAAAACTAATTCACATAGGACAATGTCACTAATACTAATGGCGTACAAATTTTCTTTGAGGAGAAAGGGCAGTAGCTCTGCTAATTTCATTTTAGGAGGAGGATAAAACGATACAACATCTCTCAAGGTTTATGTCTTTTGTTTTTCCCCCTTGAACTGAGACATTTGCATCAGGTGCCTGGAATTTTGGGGGGATTTGTTTTAGTCTGATGCAAAAGAAAACAACTAGTAACGTTTTATTTCAGACTGCATGACCAAACGCAATCATCACAACCTGTTGGCTAGTAACACATACTAATAGCAGCTACCATCACTTCTCATTTGTAGTCAGGAAAGGACCATCAAGTCCAAACAACATTCACCTCTAACAGTCTGCATTCGCAATTGGTCATTCGCTCATCTGTAGTGGACAATTGATGCATTTTGTTCGCACCCGCCATCCACATCCTACTTCTCTACTCATTCATCTGCATATATACAAGCCGATTCACAAAAGGAAAACACTCTTATTTTTATATTACAAACTATAAATGTGAGTCTTAAAACAAAGAGGAGTCGTGTGAGAACAAAAGGCAACAAAAATTACACTGTTACAACATAGGAAGTTCACTCGTCTGAGTCTCAAACAGGAAAATTTCGTGCGAGAACAAAAGCTACCACTAAACTGAACTGACAACATGGACAGCCACCACAAGGATTCCGGTACCACCCTGAGTGATCATGCATGCTCCATCCGTTTTGCTGGGCAGTTCCAGCAGCAGTTTTCCATAAGCTGCCCTTGGACAGCTGACTGCTTGTCTGGGAAATCACCACGATCTGCCAATCTCATGTAGCATCTCAGAGTAAGAAGAACCCTGGTTACCGGATTGTCGTCCTTGATGAAGTTCAGGTCCAGAGCTCGGGCAACATCAAACAAGCCTCCTTTGCACCCCGTTGTGGGAAGTATGCCAATGTCAGGGTATCTATGCACAATCAATGCGACATCATACATACCAGGGAAATATGCTCTCCGTTGCTCGACGTAGGAAGGCCAGTCGCTTGGAAGGTCTTGAGGTGCAGAGAATGAGCTGATCAGGCTGGCGATCCCGTGTGCTCCGTGGAATGTCACCCAGGATACATTAGGATTACTCGTTGCTCCACAAGACGCCATAAGCCGGGTAAACTGTCGGGGATGCAGACAGCCACTACGTGGTGTGGAGCTGATGCAGAATTTCCACACACAATCATATGCCAACATTCCTTCAGAGTTCACGAATGCAATGACAATTTCGAATGAGTCGGCATCCTTCAGATAGGTCTTCATCGATTCATAATTTTGTTGGGCGCCGATTGCATATGAGCGGTTGCCCAATTGAGGGTGCATTACTTCTACTCCGATGATGTTGAAGTTGCTTGGCACCAGCTCTTGAATTCGTTGTGCCTCTTCGTCCAAGTTTCCTGCTTGCACCTTGATGACATCGATGTTGCTGGTACGGTCGCCAATGTGGCGAGCATCTTTGATAGCCTTGTTCACCTGGGCTATTCCGGCGAGTAAACCCTGGCGAGAATCGAGCCGATGCAGCTGGTGGTCTCCTGAGGCTGAAAGACAGCTGACAATCTGGAAGAAACATGACAGTGTAAGCAGTGCGTCGACGCCGGCGTGGTGCCCTCTGCCGAAACGGTTGACCCCAAGGAGATCGGCGATCGCGGTGAGGCTCCCGCGGAAGCCATGCTGCACCAGCTGCCCAAGAACACGGATGTCGTACAATCTGGGGAAGTTGAGCCGCAATTGGTGCAGAAATGTGGGCAGCTCAAGTGGAAGATGGCTGCTGCCACGGCATCCCCCTTGCAGCAGGCGGAGGAAGAAACCAAAGTCGTAATCTCCATGGTAGGCAATCCAGGTGACGGAGCTGTTGCCGAATGGGAGGTGGCTCAAGAGCCCCGTATAAACAAAGTGTGGCACGACGCCTCTGTCCCTGTGCTCCGTGAGATCATGGCCTTGTTCAGACAGGAAGCTTATGGCCTCGCCATTGTACTTACGCAGCTCTACGGTGAAGTCGAAATTGATCTCCAGTGCCATCGCCGTGAATGTCGGTTCTTCGTCGACTTCATCCTCAAATACAAATGCGAGACCCATCTGAACTACATCGCCTCCATTCACGTAGCTGCACAAGTTTTTTTTTTTTTTTTTTTTTTGTTGTAAGTCGAAATTAATATCTTTGTGAAGGAAGGTTAATTGCAGCTTCTTCGACATCATTCTTGAATGGATAATTAGAGATGCGAGGCCAAACTAAACGACATTAACTCGTTCACGTACCGGCGCAAGTATTCGTAGTTGGTTTTGGTACATCCTGGCCAGCAGTGCATGTTGGTGAAGGCGTCCGCGGCGAACTCGAAGTCGAAGGCGATGTAGATGCGGCGATGAGGCTGACCGAACGCGTCCAGCACTGGCTTGAACATCTCCGGGTAGTTCCCCTGCCACACCCTCTGCACGGACACCTTGGCAAGGTGGTGCGCGAGACACCGCGCGACCAAAGGGCTCATGTTCGTGGCGTCGAAGCCATCGACGGCCTTGTTGCGCACTTGAGCGTCGGCGAGTTTGATGGAGCAGTCGCCTTCCATGAAGGGATGGACGTCGGTGAGCTTGGTGTTCCCCTGGATGGCATCCGCGACGACCGAGTTGTCGGCGACCTTGGTGTTCCCGTGGATGGCGCCCGGGACGGCCTGGACGTCGGGCTTGGCGTCCGCGACGGCCTGGATGTCAAAGACCTTGGTGTTCCCGTGGATGGCGTCCGGGACGGCCTGGACGTCGGCGAGCTTGGCGTTCCCGTGGATGACGTCCGCGACGGCCTGGATGTTGGCGAGCTTGGTGTTACCGTGTATTGCGTCCGCGACGGCTTGGACGTCGGCGAGCTTGGCGTCCGGGGCATCGGCTTGCATGACGAAGCCGTTGGCTGCCTTGGCGAAAGGGTGGACGCCCATGGTGTGGGACGAGTAGCTTGGCGCTGCGGAGGGCTAGGCTACTGGAGGGTGCGGACGGTGAAGCTGCTGGCGCGTGAGGCTGCTTGCGAAATGCAGATGCGAGGCTTTGTGAATTGTGATTTCGTGAAGAAGAATTGGGGGTGGTTATATAAGCTGTGCTGTACTCCTCCTCCACCACCGGGAAATTGGGCCACTAACATGTGGGGCCTAAATGTCAGTGGCTTAAAGTCTCAATGCGTCACGCGCGCCGGGCTGCCAATCCGGCGGCCAAGTGGCTTTTCTTTAAAAAAAAAATAGGAGAACTTGATGGCCCCACCAACCAGCCAGGGACATTCGGTTCCAGACTTCTTCAAGTGCCAAGCCGCTGAGCTGGACGAGCGAGGAGTACTAGAGGAGAAGTATTCGGTACTACAGTATAGTTGATTTATTTAGGAGAGTTAGTTGATTTGTGTTCTCCGTAGTCGTGTTGAATGTCCTGCAAAAAAAAGCAAAAAAGAATCTCTTTGTGTTTGCAATACGTGCCAATCCAAACATTTCTTATTGAGTCGCCCATTGATATTCAATCACCACATATGCCTTGTTTATTAGTATTACCATGTGGCTGATGCAGCCTAGTACTAGTAGTTATGTCAATGTTTGTGGAGGGAGGATGGAGCAGATCAGGATCGGCAGACACAGAGCGGAGCGCGGAGGGAGGGAGGATCGGGGCGATGGGGATTGCCGGCGGTGAGGATGGATGGAGGCGCCGCCGCCGACGCAGCGCGGCCATTGGTGGTCAGCTTCTCCTTCCCCCTCTCTTTTGGCTCTTTCCCCTTTCTCCTCTGTCCCGTCCCATGGTTATGCCCGCAAGGCGGGGGAAGTCTGGAGGCGACGTTTCTGTTCTACCAGCAGCTCTTGTTCATCAATTCATGGTGAGCAGCAAGATCTGAGGCTAGGCCGTCGATGGCTGTGTTGGAACAAGGCTGGATATCCTCCTTCTTCTTCTTCTTTTCATAGAATGATGTTAGTGATGTTAGACGACTACTTTTAATTCAATGGTAACTGTGGTGTTAGGATATAAGATTGCAGTTTGATGTAGCTGATGTAATAATGTTCATGCTGCTATAATATTGAACATCTCTATATACAGTGTAATTTGTGTTCTCCATTTGCATAACATCAGGCTAAATTTTTCTGGGCCCTGTTCTTTGAGAGATTGCTTGCGACTGATCTGCGAACAATAGAGAATACTTACTTTCTTTAGGGTGTGGATTGTCTTCTGTTTGGGTCTTTAGCGAACCTGAAACAAAACGGCGATTCAATCGGTGTTTTTTGTGTTCTCCATACTGTTCCCCTGTTAGGCCATGTTGATGCTTCCTTCATGTTTAGCTGTTGTCCCCAGCACTGAAACTTCTATATCCCAAACTTGCTCTTAAAAGCAAGGGCCCTGCCCTTTATCCAGAAAAAAGGTATATGAAAAAGATTCAACTTGAATATCCTTAAGCTTAATGAAGTGAAAATTTAACAGTTACGACGAAGCATCACCTAAATTCTTTTGGTCCATTTTCGTATTACTTGTGATGCACTCCAGTCTTATTTACTCTTCATCTCATTTGTTAGTATGATCCAAGAAAATTATTGTATGACTTGGGTTTGCTCCATGGCATAATCTGTTATAATGTATCATTTGATGAAGCTGTACAAAACATCATGTTGCCTAGTTCTTCTTTTGATTGTTGATCTAATAATTGGGCACATCATAGCTGAAAATGGGACTTGATTACTAATTGCACATGGTTTAAAAATCTTTCTATCTCATGGCCATTGAATTGTTAATCTTTTCCCTGCACACATGATTTATTTTTTTTTTCTAAGTGCAGCTCAAATTCATAGTGGTATGTTTTTCCTTCAGGTATAAGCTGCACAGTAAGAAGAGCAAAGTTGACAATTTACCTTGAAGGAAACTCATGATAAATGTAAATACACCATGCGAAAGTAGACGATCAGGTTGTGCCTATCACCCCTCATGGTAACCTCTGCACCACCAGGAATTTTACCTTAAAATATAGCAAATGAAGTGAATTACATTTTCTAAATTCAGGCACAAATGGAATATCTAGGTGTAGATAGTTTATTGATCGCAATTTATCATTGACTTCATTGTGAACTGGAGATATGCTTTATGTACCAGTTTTTTTACTGCCTAATACAGAGAGCAGTGCGCATCAATATTTGTAAGTGGAACCTATAACTTCCTATTCCTTTTTGCTAAACTGTGGCATTCTTTAGATGTTTTGCTGGTGGATGCATCTGGACATCATTGAAAAGTGGTCTATAACTACATGTGTTCCTACTCTTAATCATATAATTCCTGATATAAGGTAGAGAAAGGGTCTAGGTTCTTAATTTAACAGATGGATAAAATTATTTATTACTTAAATGTAAGGCGAATGTAGTCCAGTTTAGGACTTTCTATAGGCAGGTATTAGAGCCAATCCCTTGGGATGAGCTTTTAATTCATTTTTCTATTCATCGAAAGGGATTGTGTGACCCCAAGCAGTCACTATGATTTTGGATAGCCAGGGACAAGATGATGATGAGACAATAATTACACAAAGTTAGCACTAGTGCTGACCATAAGAATTTGATGAGATAGTTTCAGCTATATCTTTGTAGCATCAGTCTACTATTCAGAGTTGAGGTATTGATTTGTTTGAGTGTTTGACCATCAAGCAGGTGGTACTTTCACAGTTTCACATGTTCAAAAACAGATGTGTCAACAAATGCCAGCTTACAGTGAGAGCAGGTCAACCTGAACATGTTTAACAACTGTAAATGATCTTGTTAGGGATTTACCAATTCGAGTAATCCTCCAATATTAATGGGTACAAATATAGAACAATTCCATGTCATTCCTTGAATAAGAAACTCATGAGGAACAATGATTTAACTAAAGTACTCCAGCATTAGGAAATTTCTAGTTACTATTTGCATGATGAATCTTTTTTGCTCTGCTGTGGGAACAGCAACATACAGACTTAATGGGTAACTTGGCTAAGCTAATAAGATACATTAACCTGAGGTGAACGGCATAGGAGATTGGGACCCCATGAGAAGTGCGAGCGAGTAAAAGTAAATTCAATAGGATAAGGAGAGGGAGATAAAATTCTCGAGAGAAAATACAACCATGTTTGTTTGCGATTACACATGTGCGCCAAATTGCATCCGATGGATCAGAGGGAACATAAGCTAAAACAGAATCCGAAGAATTCTTGCTGGTCCATAACATTCTTTTCATATCAATTGTCATATGCTCCAGCCTTATTTATTCCTCATCTCATCTGTGTATGATAAGAGAAAATTAGGGTCTGACGTGAGTTTGCTCTGTGTACGCGCTTCTTTGACATAGTATGTGTTTTAATATATCATTTGATGAAGCCTATAGCAGCATCACTTGATTGCCCAGTAGTTCTTCTGGTGTATATATTGTATATCTAATTACAGTTCATAGCTGAAACTGAGTCTTGATTACTGATAGTCTTTTCACTGTACACATGATCTTTTTTTTATTACAGCTCAATTCATAGTATCTGGTACGTTTCTTTGTATTTCAGGTATAAGCTGCACAGTAAGAAGAGCAAAGTTGACAATTTGCCTCGAAGGAAACCAGTGATATATGTAAGTTGAGAGAAAGTTGCAATATGCCTCTCCAGTTACTTCCATACTGAGGATTTTAGAAATGAAATAAGACCTCTTTGTAATTCTATGACAGGTGGATCAATGATTAACATGAGACAGATACTGAACTTATGGTAAAGAACTGCATATACCAAGGTCTGTTATACATACCATCCAAAGTCTCTAACCAAAAACGGTGGAATGTACAAAATCTTCATTAGATCTGTTTTAGAATGCTTTACAGGACCAACAAAGTCTTCCAGACCATTTGGAACGAGAAGCCTGATGGAACAGTGCAACGAGATATTAAGATCCAGAAGGGCTCCACAATCAGAGGTATGTGTTGATTATTGATTGAATTATTCTTTGGATAACAAATAACAGAAACTAAAAAGCACTATGGCATAATACACTATCTGACAAGACTAAATGGTTGAGACAATGTTTTGAATTCTCAAACCATTTAAACCCTTGACCCTAGATGGAGCAAATACACTGCTAAAGTAGATGATTAAGTTTTGCTCAGTTATTAGTTATGCAAAATCATGATTCAACCACTGTCTGCCACATCAGCGTTTGTAAAATTTTGTAAGAACTTTCTTTGTATGTGTATCATCAGTCTGCCGCGTCACTATATTTGTAACTGCAACCTATAGCTTTCCTATCTCTTTTTGCTTTTGCCTGAGGGTATACAGTTGGACATCACAGATGCCTGTTAAGATACGGGGGTCTTGTTGACCTAAATAGGGTAGAGAAAAGGTTCCAGGTTCACAATTTAAAAAAGGAACAAAATGGATAAAATATTTCATATTAAAGTGTAATGTGAAAGTATTCCACTTTAGGACTTTCTAGGAAGGGATTAGAGTCAATTCCTTCGTGGAGCCTTTTTAATTCATTTTTGTTGTTCATCCAAAGGGATGGTGCCTGATACACTCGAAGCAAACTCAGATTTTGGATAACCACGGGCAAGTTGATGATGATGAGGTGATAATCGATTCCCCACTCCTCCCTTATCAAATTTCCCATGATTTTCTCTCTCAATTCGGGTCTAGTTTGCCAGATTTAATTGATTTCAATGATGTCAAGCCGGCGAGCTTCCTCCGGTTGTTTTTATCCTGAATTTTGTGGACTTGCTCCAATTTTGAGAAAAATGGAGAGAGAAAATCTAGTGGATCAAAAACCCTCAACCAATTTTTGGTAGATCGAGAAATATTTAATCTGATTTGGTGTTGAAGATCGGCTCTAGCATCCCCGGCTATTTTTATCCCAAATTTTGTGGACTCGCTCCAATTTTGAGAAAAATGGAGAGAGAAAATCTAGTGGATCAAAAACCCTCAACCAATTTTGGTAGATCGAGAAAGATTCATTCTGATTTGGTGGAGAAGATCGGCTCTAGCATCGCAGGGCACAAGACGGGACTGTCTTTTGGATACTGAAATGCCCCGTACCCGTGACATTTAACTTTTTATTTTTGCCACTTTTAAAAGGGTTAATTGGATCCATGCCATTATAAATTTGCAGGTTTGGAAAAATACCATTACTATACACAAAATTGAAAGCATGCCATCTATCTATCTATTATATTATTAAAACAGCTTTGAAAAGGAGGCATCACGTTTGCTGTGGAGGTTAAAAATTCCCACATTAATCGGAGAAAAAGAAAAAAAGAGTTCAAATAGAAATACAATAAAAATAAAAAAAGAGCTGAAATTCGGAATTAAAAATATGCAATATTGAAAGAGGAGTCCATATAGGAACTCAATACGTGATTAATTAAAATTTGGAATAAAAATAAAATAAATTTCGAAATTAGAAAAAGAAAAAAGAGGACTTCGAGTAGGAATACAATTTAAAAATAACTGAAATTCGGAATTACAATTAAGCAATATTGGAAGAAGAGTACATATAAAACCCAATACGAGATTAATTTCCCACATTAATCGGAGAAAAAGAAAAGAAGAGTCTAAATAAAAATACAATAAAAAAAATAGCTGAAATTCGGAATTAAAAATATGCAATATTGAAAGAGGAGTCTATACAGGAACCCAATACGTGATTAATTAAAAATCAGAATAAAAATAAAATAAATTTCGAAATTAGAAAAAGAAAAAAGAGGACTTCGAGTAGGAATACAATTTAAAAATAACTGAAATTCGAAATTAAAATTAAGCAATATTGAAAGAAGAGTCCATATAAAAACCCAATACGAGATTAATTAAAATTCAAAATAAAAAAATAGAAAATCGAAATTAAAAAATAAAAGAAAAGTAGAGTTCAACTAGGAATACGATTTAAAATTAGCTGAAAGTCGGAATTAAATATAAGCAATATTGAAATAAGAGTACATATAAGAACCCAATACGAGATTAATTAAGATTCGGAATGAAAAATAAAATAAAATCCGAAATTGAACAAATTAAAAAGAGAGTTCAAGTAGGAATACAATTTTAAAACGACTAAAATTAAAAATTAAAAATAAAATATTAAAAGAACACAATACATTATTAGTTAAAATTCGAAATAAAAAATAAAATAAAATCTGAAATTAGAAAAGGAAAAATAAGATTTCAACTAGGAATACAATTTATAAATAACTAAAATTGGTGATAAAAAAATAAAGACTATTGGAAGAAAAGACCATCTAAAACACATGACGTGATTAATTAAGTAATAGACCTATAAAGGAGTAGGGTGGTGGCGGTTAATGGGCCATCTAAAAACTATTAATAAAACACCAAATATAATGATGGCGGGCAGGTAGTGAAGCAACCGGTCAAGGCGGTTTGCGGGACTTCTAGAAAGTAAAAAAAAAAAAAAGCCCCAATGATAATCATATTTGATTTTTAAAATCTCAATGACAATAAAAAGAAGAGGCAGCGGGCGGGTTGTATGGGAGTACATTGGCAAAGCTACCATAGAAAGTAAAAAAAAAGAATTCCAACGATAGTTATGTTCGATTTTTAGAATCCCAATGACAATAAAGAATAGACGGCGGACGGGTCGTAGAGGAGTATAGTGGTAACGTTTGATGGGATTTCTAAAAATTATAAAAAAATGGCACCACGTTCGCTGTGGAGGCTAAAAATTTCCACATTAATCGGAAAAAAGAAAAGAAGAGTCCAAATAGAAAAACAATAAAAAATAGCTGAAATTCGGAATTAAAAATATGCAATATTGAAAGAGGAGTCCATATAGGAACCCAATATGTGATTAATTAAAATTCGGAATAAAAATAAAATAAATTTCGAAATTAGAAGAAGAAAAAAGAGGACTTCGAGTAGGAATACATTTTAAAAATAACTGAAATTCGGAATTAAAATTAAGCAAATTGGAAGTAGAGTACATATAAAAACCCAATACGAGATTAATTAAAGTTCAAAATAAAAAAAATAAAAAATCGAAATTAAAAAATAAAAGAAAAGAAGAGTTCAACTAGGAATACTATTTAAAATTAGCTGAAATTCGGAATTAAATATAAGCAATATTGAAATAAGAGTATATATAAGAACTCAATACGAGATTAATTAAGATTCGGAATGAAAAATAAAATAAAATCCGAAATTGGACAAATGAAAAAGATAGTTTAAGTAGGAATACAATTTTAAAACGACTAAAATTGAAAATAAAAAATAAAATATTAAAAGAACACAATACATTATTAGTTAAAATTCGAAATAAAAAATAAAATAAAATCTGAAATTAGAAAAGGAAAATAAGATTTCAACTAGGAATACAATTTATAAATAACTAAAATTGGTGATAAGAAAATAAAGACTATTGGAAGAAAAGACCATCAAAAACACATGACGTGATTAATTAAGTAATAGAGCTATAAATGAGTAGGGTTGGTTATTAAGTAATAGACCTATAAAGGACATCTAAAAACTATTAATAAAACACCAAATAGAATGATGGCGGGCAGGTAGTGAAGCAACCGGTCAAGGCGGTTTGCAGGACTTCTAGAAAGTAAAAAAAATAAGCCCCAATGAAAGAAGAGATAGCGGGCGGGTTGTACGGGAGTACATTGGTAAAGCTACCGTAGAAAGTAAAAAAAAAAGAATTCCTACGATTATGTTCGATTTTTAGAATCCTAATGACAATAAAGAATAGACGGCGGACGGGTCGTAGAGGAGTATAGTGGCAATGTTTGATGGGATTTCTAAAAATTATAAAAAATGAAATCCAACGAGACAATAAATTATAAAAACTATAAGGTCCAATTTTAAAAGGTTCGGGCTTCGGAAAAGTAAAAAAAATAAACCCCAATGATGATCATGTTTAATTTTAAAATCTCGATGAGAATAAAGAAGGAAGGCAGCGGGCGAGCCGTATTGGAGTACAGTGACAAAGTCGCTGACGTTTTGACGGAACTTCTAGAAACTAAAAAAATTAAACCTAAACGACAATTATGTTTGTTTTTTAAAATACCAATGACAATAAAGATAACAGGCAGTGGACGGGCCGTAGAGGAGTATAATGGTAGCGTTTGACGGGAATTCTATAAATTATAAAAACAAAACCCAACGAGACGATAAACTCTAAAAACTATAAGATCCAATTTTAAAAGGTTCCAAAGAGAATGAATAGAAACAGTGATAGATCAAGCAAGCAAATAAAGAAGGATATGACAGAAGTAACGGGTAGCAACTGGTGTAAAATTAAAAAATTAGAAACACGGGAATGATAGGGTTTGGTCTTTCAAACCTTATCATATAAAATATATAATTTTGTATAGGTGTTAGCCGCGCAATTGCGCGGGCCACCCAGCTAGTTATATTATTAAAGGAATAGAAAAAGGAGCCTCCACGTTCGCTCTCATGGCCTAGAAATTCTCACATTAATCGAAGAAAAAGAAAAAGCAGAGTCCATATAGAAATACAATTTAGAAATACCTGAAGAAATTCTCACATTAATCAGAGAAAAATAAAAAGCAGAATGCATGTAGAAATACAATTTAGAAATAGCTGAAATTCGGAATTAAAAAATAAGGAATATTAGAAGAGGAGACTAGAGTCTAGATAGAATTTTAGAAATAGTTGAAATTCGAAATTAAAAAATAAGGAATATTAGAAGAGCAGACTAGAGTCCATATAGAAATACAATTAGGAAATAACAATTAAAAATAAGGAATATTAGAAGTAGAGTAGAGAGTCCATATAGAAATACAATTAGGAAATAACTAAAATTCGGAATTAAAAATAAGGAATATTAGAAGTAGAGTATAGAGTCTATATAGAAATACAATTAAGAAAAAAAATTCAGAAATAAAAAATAAGAAATATTAGAAGTAGAGTATATAGTCCATATAGGAATTTAAAACTAACTAAAATTTGGAATAAACATAATAAAATTAAAAGTAGAGTTTAGAGTCCGTATAAAAATACAATTTACAAATAACTAAAATTCAAAATTAAGAAAAACATGGGAAGAAGAGTTTAAAGTCAATATAGGAATACAATTTAGAAGTACCTGAAATTCGAAATTAAAAATTAAAGAATATTGAAAGATGAGTTTAGAGTCCACATAGAAATATAATTAGAAATAATAAAAATTCAGAAATAAAAATAAATAATATTGGAAGAAGAGCATAGAGTCTATATAGAAATACAATTTACAGAAAATTCGGAATTAAAAAAAAGAAATATTAAAAGACGAGTCTAGAGTCCATATAGGAATATATATAATTTACAAATAACTAAAATTTGATATTAAAAATAATTAATAACTAACACGTATATAAAATATAATATGAATATTACACATTAGTAGTTTTGTAAAGTTATTGCAAAATTTAAAATTATGTTGTCATTTTAATATATTTGAATAATATAATGAGAAAACATATATGCTATTATATGAGAGAAAATATAATGATGCTAGCCGCGTAATCTGCGCGGGCACCATGCTAGTTACAATTTAACAGATCTTTGAAATATACCATTGCTTACCACTTTGCTGAAATTTCTAATTTTTGTTTACCAAATTGCCCTTATCTTCTTCCTCCATCCTCTTGTTCCCCTTTCTCTCGTCTTCTTCTCCATCACGCTCCTCTCCTCTCCTCTGTGCTGCCGAAGCTGCTTTCTAATTTTTGGTCAGAAGAGAGAGGAGGGGTGAGAGGAGAGAGAGAAATAGGTGGGAGGAAGAAAAGGAGGAACAAGACGGGGGTAATTTGATCAGAAAAGTTTAGAAATCACGGTGAAGGGACAAGCAGTGGTACGTCTCAAAGACATGTTGAATAGTAATGGCATGTTTCTAATTTCATAAATAGCAATGGTATTTTTCCAAACCTACAATTTTATAATGGCATGGATCCAATTAACCCCTTTTAAAATGTGGCAATTAAGAATTTGCTACCATGTGAGCCCTCATGTATCTATAACGTGTGGGTCCAGTAGCATATCCTTAATTGCAACTTGTAAGAGTGGCAAATAGGTAAACATCTCGTCTTCCGGAGGTTGAAGACGTTGTGCTAGTTGGGCTTGCAGCTTCACTTATGGGTTGGGCTAAAGAGAGGCAAGCTGAGGAGGGAGGTAGCGGAGGGGCTAAAAAGGAAGGAATAAGCTATAGGCTTTCAGCCCAAAACAAATGAAAGATTTTCATTATAATGTATTTAGCGATCTTAATGTTTCAATTTATTGCTTAGCTCCTAATAGCTATTATACCAGAAAAAACGCTTTTACCCGTTGTGTGCATTTTTTCTAGTCTACTATTATAAAAATTGAAAATGCTTTTGCTGGAACTTTGGTACGTCATCCGTGTATGAGTCGGTTTTTAACTTCGTTCGCTTTTGGAAATACATATCCGTATTTGAGTCAGTTTTTAAGTTCGTTAACTTTTGGAAATACAGAAGGAGTCGTATAAGAAATCTCTTTAAAAAACTCGCATGCTAACTTGGGATGATCGGACTCCTAATTGCAGCTTATGATTTTATAAAAAATATATATATCCAAGCAAATTCTCACAGTGAATTTCACCTTAATTTACCCGTATAACAATAATAAGATTAAAGTCACCCTCACGGCCTCACCCGTTGCAACGCACGGGCATTTTTCTAGTATAGTAAAATAAACAAAGTTAATACAAAATGTGACTACTAAAATTAAAAAAACAAACCTAATACGGAATACAAAATATGAGTAAACAAACCTAATACGAAATGTGACATTCTACTAGTACAAATCTGAATAGACGTGAATACGTCACATCTTATACTACTCCTTTGTCCCAAAATATAAGAGATTTTGGATGGATGAGACATTGTTGATGCAAAAAAACACACACTGGCCTGAGAGATTTGTTTTACTCTAGTGCAGGTCTAAAGATTTGCTTTCGGGTTTAGAGCGTGCCAGTTGGTTTGATCCTGCAACCAACAAGAAACAAAGAATTCAAAGTTAAATCCATAAACGATAGCCGATCAGCTAAATTGCCAATGACATATTGTCTAAATCGAGCCAATGCAATATAATTTGGATCGACAGTAACGTATATAGTGAAAAGGGGACTAAATTCACTTTATCGGCTGTAAATATCAACACAATATAATCTATTCTTCTAAATATGTTTAAACCAAGTGATTGGATAGATCGGATGGCTGCCAAAGCAGTATAAATCACTCAAGTCTAAAAGTATTTGAAAGCAAAAGATTATATAAACTCATATCATAGCCGATAGGCAAATCTAGTGTGTATCGGCTATTGCTCTGATACTTTTTTATACTAAGATATCATTATAGATTAAATATATTGAACAAGAATCAATCTATTATTAGTTTAATCTAAGCAGATTGATATCGAGCTTAATATATTTTTTCTTAATGAGATCTTGATATAAAGGGCAGATTTAACATATCGAGTAGATAAATCAAGAACAAGATAGCTAAACCAGGTAAGATCGGCTGAAACTCCAATGCTATCTCTATCGGTAATCATGAAGCAAGCTAGAGATTATGATTCTAGATATTACTTAATAGTTCAAACTTAACCGATGCAACATTAAGCATAAAGAGAAACATAATATCTGATAAACAAGCCCATGAGAACTTTTTCGAGATGGTAGATATACTATATAATCTAACTCAACAAAGTTACCTAATCTTATTGGCTGGTTTCGATAATAGAGACTAGCCGATAGAACTATATAAAATTATCGATCTAGATTATATAGCATATATGATAACTTGGCGATTTACATAAACAAGATTAGAGTGTCATAAGGATGTAAGCACTAATCCTGAGAACGCAAGCCGCCATAACAAGTTTTACCTTTTCGTCGGAGATTGCAACCGATGCAGCCCAACTCGAAAGCAAGAACTCGTCGAAACAATGAAAATAGAAAAGGGTGGTGATGCGCTGAAAGTATTATTGAAGTGTTATTGAACTGATGTTAATTATTTACAAGGTATGGGGTCATATTTATACCCATAATATATAATATGTCCTTGTCGGACACGACTCTACTTCTATTACAACTTTAAAACACGAACAAGTCCCTTAGGCGAACTCTTACCGAAAATATCTATAAAGAAACTACTAGAATATCCTAATTAATAGATACAATTGCCTTCTTCGGACTCAATCCGTATTTAGCAATAGTTGTACAGTACTTCAGTCGATTTTGACAATGATTCTATAATTATCTTGCCGAAATCGGCTACATTGGCTTCCTCTTATCCGATTCACTGATGCAGACACTAGCCGATGCAATCCATAGCCGATGCACACTTTGTTCCCCAAAAATAACGAACTCCTTCCAAATCCGCTTCGGCTTTGGCTCCAAATCCAATATATGATTTACCAAATTTGGTCGTTAATAGATACTTCTAGTATAGTGAATCTGATCAAAGAGACTATTTAGATTTGTTATACTAGGAAGTGTCTCATCTATTTTGGGACGGATGAAATATTAGATTGTACTCCATATCTTAAACTAGTAGTACTAGATTGATTGTTTTATTTTGGTATGAAGTACAGGTGAGAGTGGCGGGCGGCTGGCTGGCCCACTGCCCACACGAGTACACGACGAATTAATTAAAGAGATGCACTTCACTTCAGAAAGGATATATGGTTGGTTGCAAGCTGACCAGTTCAGGCAACAACGACAACAAATCGAACATAAAAAAGGACAAGAAATCGATCTTTGGAATTAAAATTCTTTTAGCTCCAGAAATTAGAACTTCAATTTTACAAAAGTCCTAGGTAGCCTCTACTGGCTCTACCGAGCAAGATTTTCCAGGAAATGCGCGGTCGATTGGCTGCAATCTACAGCTGACAGTCCAATCACCATGACGACACGAAATCTATTGATTTTCGAGGCTTCAGGTCATTTTCGTAGTCGGTTGGACACATTACTTGGCCAACCTAGGGGATAACCTCGTCTCTTTCATATGTCGCTGTTCTTAATTTGAAATCATCAGTGAAATCGTTAACTGGTAATCCCTTCGTTTTACAATGTAAGTCATTCTATCATTTCCCACATTCGTGTTGATGTTAATGAATCTAGATAGATACATATGTCTAGATTCATTAACATCATTACGAATGTGGAAAATGCTAGAATGACTTACATTGTGAAACGGAGGAAGTATAATTTGTACGTCCTCGAGCAAACAAAGTTCTTTTTTTCTAAAGATAAGTGTATGTGGTCAACCTATTTGGCCATAGTTATTTTTTAGGGGGGGGGGGGGGTTCATGAAAACAATATACAAGTGTTTCGTTGCAAACACTTTCATACAAGTTACAAGACTTATATATATATTTTTTTGAGAATTATGTAAATGGAAACAGGGAATTTGTTGGTCTAAACTGTTTTCTGTTTATTTCTAAAAGTGAAAACCCTTCTTTCCTGACCTTCCTAAGGGAAAGGGAGCAGCAAGTATGCGATGAAGCTCGTGTGGCGCCCCTTCTCTGCACGCTTTGGTTCGTTCCAAGCTCACGTGGCACGTGTTGACTGAGTACAACAAGTGCAAATAGAGGCACAGCAAAGGGCCTTTCTGTAATTGTGTTTGTAATCTTAGTCCTCTTTCATGACCTGTTTGATGCTTTTGCATCTTTGAGATTGTGAAACTGACGTGTGTGTATATGATCCTGATGGTGACTTCAGTCTTGCAAATGTCATTCCTGGTCGAACACCCTGAAAGAAGCTGTTAAAAAAAACCTGTATTTCGTTGTTGCTGTTACCACTTGAAAGCAAAAAATAATCATCGTTAGTTGTTTACTCGTATGTTTCTTAGGGCATCACCAATGCGTGTCTCCAGCCCGTAGCCTCGCAAACGGTAACCAACTTCCGTCGCCGGGTCGTCTCCTGGGAGGGAGGCGTGACCCTCAGGCGGGGGACGGGTGGCTCAAGCTCCTTTTCTTGAGCCACCGCTTGGGGCTATGTGTTGCACGAGCGCGTGGCTCGTGGACACGGCTCCCCCACCACAACTTTGCCCTTCCACCCTCGGCCTCGTCGCTTGGAGTAGGCGGGAGGCACACGGCAGTGGGGAGGAGTCGGAGGCGACGGCGCCGACCCCGCGACGGCGACGGCGCCGACCCCGCGACCAGCGCGACGGCCGCCACCATCTCCTCCCCGATCTAGCCGGGGGGGCTAGATCCACCCGCTACGGCGCCGGATTTTGCCGCCCCCGACCTGTGATGGCGAGAGGCGGAGGAGATCAGGGAGGCGGACGGTGCGAGGCGGAGGAGACCGGCGAGGCGGAGGAGGCGGACGACGACGACGCTTCGGCCACGGCGGCGACGACGATGACGAGGAGAGTGAGGGAGGGAGGCAGAGGCGGCGGACGGTGACGACGTGTCGGCCGCGGCGGCGATGACGACGGCGAGGAGAGTGAGGGAGGGAGGCGGAGGTGGCGGACGGCGATGACGCTTCGGCCACAGCGGCGACGATGACGGCGAGGAGAGAGAGGGAGGGAGGCAGCCCTCGCGGCCACCGGCGACGGCGAGTGGCCCCGCGGCGAGAGGGAAAGGCGAGCGGCGGCGGCGAGGACCACGATGTGAACGGGTCCGGTAGATGAGTAAATGTGGGGAAGAGAGAGGAAGTGGGGGAGAAGAGAGGGGTAGTACAGTAAAATAACTACGTAGGCTTTTTGGGTTAGGAACACTCATTGGGTCACCAGGGTATTCTCCAGAGGTGTTTCCCGCACAGTATCTTCAGTTAGTGAAGACACTCATATGGTATCCTTGATTGGTGATGGCCTTATTCTAACGAAAGATATGGAGGTTGGCTACTCCGCAATTTGTGCCTGTTAATATTCCAAGATTTCTTGAAATGGTAAATTCCTAGCAAATTCATTTACAATTTTGCTATTCATGTTCAAGTTCTGGATTGAAATCTGGCATTGGTGGAGAGAGACTTGAGGCATCACATATGATTTCCCTCAGCAATTGAACAAAAAAAAAAAGGTCAGGTGAAATTGCGAAAAGCACCACCTGCTTGATGGTCAGACATCAATCACCACCTCAACTCTCTAGACTTGACTGATGCTAAGATGATAAAGCTAAAACTGTCTCACCAAATTCATATGGTCATCATCTTGCTACGGATCTCCTTCATCACCAATGACCATCATCTGCCCAAAAACGTCCAAACAAAAACATTCAGATTAGTGCAAACCAAGAGATCAACTGCTGTCAGCATCCACTTAAATAATCAGCAATCGTACTGTTCTCAGCTGCCACAAAGTACTGCGAGAGAACTAGGCACTCGGTTCATCTCTTTTTCCAACAAGAAACACTCCAGAAAAAAAAAACATTGAAAAGAAGAACGAGACAAAATCATGTTGATCCTGTACCAGTCACAAATACAGTGATGCGCACTGCTCTCTGTAATACTCCCTAGGCAGTAAAAAAGCACTGGTACATAAGGCATAACTCCAGTCAATGATAAACTGCAATGGATAAATTAGCTGCTCTTAGAGATACCATGTATGCCATAAGTTAAGCAAAAGATGTTCACTTGGATTTTCTGTATTGTACAGTAAAATTCCTGAAAGTGCACAGAGGTTACCAGTGAGGGACATAGGCAGTTGGGCACAACTTGACCATCTACCTTCGCATGGTGTATTCGATACATCTAGGATCAAGGATGTAAAAGTTTTGAAATTCAAAAATATTGTCTTGGCCATTTAGTCCTATCAGCCAATCAAAATAAATATTAGTATGTCATGGAGCCTTTTCAGTTTCTAACATTGGTTTTTTACAATATAATTCAATTCAATGATCAAAGCATACCTCTGATGGTGGAACCCTTCTGGATCTCAATATTGGCATTCCCACTGTTCCATCAGACTTCTTCAAAATATTGCAAAACGGACGCAATGAAGATTTTGCACTTCTGTCATTTTTGGGGAGAGAACTTTGGATGTTATGTAGATTGTAGAACAGACCTTGATATATGCAGTCCTCCCCCCCCTGAAGTTTAGTATCTATCTTACACGTATTAATTGTTCCACCTGTCATAGAAATACAAAGAGGTCTTATCTCATTGAAAAAAAATCTCAGTATGGAAGCAACCACACATGCAGAGTGTGTTGCAATTGCAATTTTCTCCTGACCTACATTTATCGTGGATTTCCTTAGGTTTGAGGTAAATTGTCAACTTTGCTCTTCTTGCCATGCATCTTATATCTGAAACAAAAACATATCAGAAATGAACTTTAGCTGTAATGATAAAAAAGAGTCTCATGCACAGGGAAAAAATTATAACAATTTAACATCCATTAGGAGAGAGATTTTAAATGTTGTGCTATAAGTAATCAGGTCTCTGTGTCAGCTATGAACTGTGCTCTTTAATTAGATCTACAATGGTACACCAGGGAAAGAGCTGAGGAACCAAATTGATGTTGGTATAGCTTCATCAAATGCTATATCAAAACCTGCATTGTGTCGAAGAAGTGTATATACACAGAGCAAACTCAGGCGTGGCCACACTCTAATTTTCTCGGATCACACTAACAGATAAGATGAAGCATAAATAAGGCCGGAATACATACCAATAATGAAATGAATGTTATGGGCCAGCAATAATTTTTCAGGCTCTGTTTTAGTTGATGCTCCCTCCTAAATGTTACTAATACTTAACCTTATACATTCAAGAAGATTGAAATGATCAAATATTGTCCCTTCCAAACCAGGATCACATTTTGGAGAGTTTGCATCAAATTCTTTAGCCTACTGCCTGCTAAACTCCTTTTTATCCGGAATGGCTGTCCTAGGAGAGACCATCCAATGGTATTAAGATTGTCTAGCGCTAAACTCCTCAATTTAACCAAGATTAATTCGGTTTGCTTGGGAAGATTTATCCAAACCAGGATTAATTAATTCTTCCGACACAGCCATCGATGGCGCTGGATCTGCATCTTGTTTGCTCCTCGCCCTGTGTTTTGCACATAACACTTGCTGCTGGTAGAACAACAAGAACTCATGGCGGAAAGAATCAGAGGACCGAGGAAGAAGAGGGGAAGGAGGAGACTGGAAAAGCTGACCTGGAACCCTTGGCGATGGCGGCGGCGGTGCATCCATCCCGCCATGATGTCCTCACCGCCGGCGTCCTCCACCGTCTCGGGTCGGGCGGCGCTCTCTCCTCCCACCCCGACGTCGCCCCGGCCCGATCCTCCCTCCTCCGCCGCTGCTGCATCTGCTTGACAACCATAGAGACATTTGGTCGAACACATAGATAGCTTAGTCTGAAACTCTGAATCAGCTATCCCGTAGTATTAAACAATCGGTGCCATATACTAATACAAATCAACCAAGAACAAGTCAATGATAAACAAATGCGAATGGACAGCAATGGGTGGATTCCATCCCACCCAAACTCAACACATCACCACCACCACCACCACCACCACCACAACCACCTCTGCTGTGCTCCATCGATCAATCGATCGATCTTAGAATGCTAGAACCCACACAGGAAACTATTTTACCAGCTCGAGTGGATGTCCACCTGTTTATTGCATATCATCTAAGTGGTTATGAAAAATTTTCAAAAAAATTAACAAGATAGATCAATATGTAACATATGACTTCACAAACATGCAAGTTCAAATTCAATTTCTGCAAGTTGTAACAAAAATAACAAATTTAACTGTAAATATACATATAGTAATTTGAGTTTTGTTTGTTATTTTTGTTATAACTTATAGAAGTTGAACTTACATGTTTGCGGAGTGATATGTTACATATTGATCTATCTTGTCAATTTTTTAAAAAATTTTTCATAACCATTTAGATGACATACAATAAACGGGTGGACGTCCACTCGAGCTATTAGAATCCATCTCCGAACCCACACACCACGCCACCACTCCCTGCGCCAAAAAAAAAAAACTCTAGCCCTGCTCAACACGGCTCTTGTTGGTGGGCCCCACCCCAAGAAGGTTTGAATTAAAAATAAAAAAAACAACTACTGTAGTAGTACTACATTCTTGCCTTTTGCCAGTAGGATAGGCGTACTGCTTGCTTGGTTATGCCACGTCAGCAAAACTATTTCTGCTAAGCTATCAAACTCCCCCGCAAGAAGGAGGAGAAGAACACTACACACACCATTTCATTTCATCTCATCTCCTTCGGCTTCTGAATCGATCGGGCTCACGTCGACATCGCCGCCACATCGGAGCTAGCGCCGGCGCCGTCGCGGCCTCCTACTCTCCTCACCGGCGTCTCCTCGAGTCGATCGAGATCCAGCGCGCGCGGCGGCTTGGACGTGGCCGGAGCCATGGAGACCTATCAGCAGCCAGGGCGCCGCCGCCTCGCCGCCGACGACCACCACCGTGGTCTCGACCGAGGGACCTACAGCGTGGCGGCGAACCTGCCGGTGTTCACCGAGACGACCAACAACGGCGGCGGCGACGCCAGACTCCTACGGCATCGGCCCGAGCTTGAGCTTGAGCTTGCACCAGCACCACACCGGTGTGGGCGGCGCCGGCGACCAGACCACGGTGTTCGCCGGCGGCGACACGCTCGCCGCGAACTACCTATACAGCTACGCGACACCGGTTGCTTACTCTGCTCAAGATTGGCACCGCATCGATGCGGGGGGCGGCCAGAACACGGTGTTCCCCAACGTCGATCACGCTTTCGGCGTGCTCGCCCCTTACTTTGCTACGGCGGATCTCCATCACATCGGTGGAGGTGGCGACCACAACACGGTGTTCTTCCCCAACATCGACGCCCGCGCCATGAACGCTTTCAGCCGCGCCGCACCAAACCAGTACTCTGCTGCGGAATTCGACTACAACGGTGTAGGCAGCGAGCAGAATTACGAGGAATTCTACTACAACGGTGTGAGCGGTGTGCAGAACATAGTGCCGCACAACATGGACAACCTCACCGCGAATGCTTTCAGCTTCGCCACACCGGCCCATTACTCTGCTGTGGAATTCTACTACAATGGTGTAGGGGGTGAGCAGAATATTGAGGAATTCTACTACAACTAGTAGGGTGGCCCGCGCAATTACGCGGCTAGCATCCATATAATATTATCTAATTTTTTACACATAAATTTCTTTAAAATTTATTAAATAGTTACCTCATTGTTTTAAGATTTAAAAAAACCAGTTTATAAAGTCACACCAGCCACCACCCCTTTAATCTTGCCCGGCACACTATGATTTCTTTTAATCTTCTTTGGAACCTGTAAAAATTAGACTTAATAGTTTTCAGAGTTTATTGTCATGTCAAGTTCTGTTTTTTATAGTTTCTAGAAGTCCAGTTAAGCGTCACCACCCTACTCTTTTATGGCCTGCCTTCAACCCCTTCTATTTATTATCATTAAGATTTTAAAAATTGAACCTGATCATCGTTTCCCTTTTCATAGTTTTAAAAAGTACTGCCAACCGAAGCTACTCTACTTCTTTACAGTCCACCTACAACCCCTTCTTTTAGCCATCTTTGTTGACATTGGGATTTTAACAAGCCCAGTCAATTTTATTTTTTACTTTATAGAAGCCATGTCAATCGCCGTTACCACACTCGTTTAGGATTCGCCCGCTGCCCTTCCTTTTTTATCGTCATTGCGGTTTATTTTATAGTCTTTAGATGTTCCATCAACCGTGCCATCCTAATCCTTTACAGCCCACCTGCTCCTTCCTCTTTACGGTCATTTGCCACCCCTCGTGGCTCACTGTCCCATGGCAACCGCTGTCTCTCACTCTCTCTTCTCTTTTGTTATCCGTTTGTCATGCTGTCTTTTATCTTTGTTATTATCGGTACCTTATAAAATCAAAATCTTATCATCATTGAGGTTCCTTTTTATTGGATTTAGAAACCAGCGCTACCACTTCACTCGTTTGTTGCCCCCTTGGCCCGTTTTCCATGGCAACCATCGCCTCCCTTTCCTTTGTTACCTAACTACTCATCTGCCCATGATGTCTCTCTTCTTCATTGTCATCGGTGTCTAACAAAATCGAAACTTATTGTTGTTGTGATTATGTTAGAAATCCCACCAGCCGTTGCTGCTACCACATCCCATGCCTTACTCGTTTTCCATCTAACGGGTTACCCTCTTGTAGCTCCTACTATTCATTACCTGAGTAGCTCGCCCTCCCATGACCCAGCAAGACTAATCTACGAATGCTTTTTCTAAAAGCATGATAAGTTTAATTTTTCAATTGTCAATCTTTTATCATTTTGGTAATTCAAACAGAACACATCTGTACAGTTCTTCTGAAGAAAAAATCATGATAAGTTTAATTTTTCAATTGTCAATCTTTTATCATTTTGGTAATTCAAACAGAACACATCTGTACAGTTCTTCTGAAACTCTTCGTTACTTAATCTACAATCTTATAATCTAGTTTTACAGGACAACATAGCCTTTTATTTTTTTTCTTCAACTAATGTAATAACTTCTAGTTATCCAAAGTGTTGGTGCTTTTTTAGGCCCATATGTCAATCACGACAACATGTTTTGTGTTTTTAATATATTTTTATTTTGACTTTTAGTTATTTCTAAATTACATTCCTACTTTATTTTATGTTTTCATGATTTTTTAAAGTTTATATTGAAAACTGTCGGTGACATGGGGCCGGGGGTATCGTGACTAGAGGCTTGGGTAGCCGCGGTCACCCACGTGGCCTGACCCCCTCGGGGGGGTCGGGCCCGAGGATGACGTGGCCACCCCTCCCTCTGTCTCCCCGAGGGGTCGGACCGCTCCCGTTTCGGCCCCGAGGGCTGGGGCGCCCCCGTTTCGGCCCCGAGGGCTGGGGCGCCCCGACCCCCTGTGGTTTTGGCGCCACGCGTGTGGGTTAGGTGAGCACAGCGGGGCTCACCTAACCGCATTTATAGCGGGATTGGACGAGCGCGCCACGCCGCATTTAATGCGGCGCAGCGCACACTTATCCGGTCCGCGACTGGTCGCGGTGTGTGACCGGTCACAGACCGGTCAGATCGCGGGTTAGGTGGCAACAGGTGGTCTGTCACACGCCTCGCCCCGTCCCGTCGGAATGATGAGAGCTTCCTGGCTCTCGTCCCTAGCCGGAGCCGGCGTGCTAACTCCTGGAGTTGGTATGTCAGTCCCGGTCAGATCCATTCCAGGCTTCAGCGCAAGTATGGCAAGGAAGTCGCTGGCCATTAAATGAAGGTTGAAATGGGCGTCCACCGGAAAAGCGGGCGAGCGGGGCAGGAGACGTGCGCTCTGCTTGTTAGAGGTCACTTCCGGCTGTAGACTAGCCCTCATTGTAAAAAGCATGTTTCCCTTCTTAGGCAGCTAGAGGCCCATGTGGTGACCCCTGACCAGATAAAAAGGAGGCCCAGGCCTAGGAAAAAAAGGGGGAGAGAGAGAAGAAAGGAGGGGAGTTGGGACTCTGGCGAAGGGTTTCTAGAGCCTGAACTCTCTTTCGCTCTCGGCCTCTCGGGATTCCTTCACGCACCGATCCACCAGAACACAGGAGTAGGGTGTTACGCTTCTCAGCGGCCCGAACCTGTCTACGTCGCCCGTGTCTTGCGTATTTCCTCTCTCGCTGACGTTCCTCAGATCGAGGGCGAAGAATCTCACTTAGCGCCCCCGGCCGAATCGGCAAAGGGGGGCCTGCGCGGTCTCCCGGTGAGGAGCCTCACGCTCCGTCATCTGGCGCACCAGGTAGGGGGCGCGCGTATTTTTCTAAGCCCTCGTCCTCTTTCGTGTGCGCCAAGCTTCTCTCGCTCAGCCCAATGGTCGAACGGGCAGTGGCGCACAGCCTCTCTCCGAACGCTAGCGGTGACGATGGGGAGCAGAACCCGCGCCGTCGGGCTCGCACCCCACCGTCCCCCTCTCGCCGAAATCCTGGGCGGGGGGTGGCGCTCGGGGAGGTCGAAAGATCCGTGACTTCGCCGCCCGCGGGCGACGGGGGAGGACGGCGAGACGGGGCGCGTCGCCGCCTCGTCTACGGCGATGGCGGCACGCCCCAGGGCGCGCTCCAGGCTGCGGGCGCGCTCCTGCGTCACCCGCCTGTCGTCCCCGATCCAAAGACTCCAGCCCGACGTTGGCTGGATGACGTGGCCGACTTGGTCATGACGGCGCAGCGGCGCCTAGGCGCCGGCGGGCGGTCCTCCGCCACCGAGGCCTCTGGCGCTGCCGCCGCCGGCTCCATGTCGTCGAGGCGGAGGGCGCGGCGAGCGGCGGCCGTTACCCGCCGTTCGTCCGCCATTCCCTCGTCAACGCCTCCGACCCAAGAATATGTGCGTGGGGGGCCGGATGCCCGCCTCGATATCGAGCGCCGGCGCGACGCTCGTCGCGCCGCCCACGCAACGGAGGGCGCTTCCTCGTCCGGAGCGCCACTTCGGTCCGGGCACGGGGGCCGGCCCCCCGTGTCCCCGGTTGGCGGTGCCGGCTGTCGAGCCTTTGTGGCGAGCCTTTGGAACGTCCGTTAGCCCCCAAGGTTCCGGCCCACCATCACCGAAAAATACAACGGAAGCGTCAACCCCGCCGA